AAAATAGGATATATACCTCCAAAATAGAGTATATACTCCAAAAAATGGGTATATACCCTAAAAAATAGAGTATATACTTTAAAAATTATATAAAAAAAGAGTATTATATAGTATTATATATATATATATACACAGGTTCCTTTGTGATAATTCTGACCAAAAATTGGTATAATTCTGACCAAAAATTGGTATAATGCTAGTAAAAAGAGGTAACCTATACTATATTTCAGTTTAAATGATTTTAGATTTCAAACTTTCTATTAAAAAATAAAATAAATAAATAACTACAACAGATATGCTAAATAAAGATAATGTGTCTACAACTTGTTATCTTAAGTAATCCTTGCAAGACCTATTCAAATATAATTTTTGCTTGTCCATAATTAAGGCTGTTATTATAAGCTGTAATTTATTATAATTATCAATACAAACAACAATATATATAATTATATTAAACTTATTTATTTTACAGATTGTGTCAAATAAGACAACATCATGAAAATGACTCTAAATATTAATTTGTTTGAGATGCAACCACATAAACCCTACAAGATAATAGTTGATTCTTTTAAATTTTGTATTAATATACCAATTAGGCTCTTCTTGCTTTTGATATATTAGTTCTTTATAAGTAGTATTTGTATCACTTAGCTTTTTTTTCTGCTTTAATTATTTGAACTATATTATAGATACTATATATATAAATATATTAATCTAGATATTTGTATATTACTATATTAATTATTGTTCTAGTATATATACTATTTGCAGCTAGAAGTTCAATATTATTTCATATTTTGATATAAGATAATGATATTGTGTTGTAGTTTTTAACTATTATTACTTATTAGATATGAATACTCTCTGATTATATCTAAAATATATATTTGATTATCACTTTTCTATTTTTATAAATTAATATGATATTTGTATCTATTATTTTTATGTATTTTATTTTTTTTCTTTAATATATATACTTTTTTTTATTTTATAGTGACACCCTTTGAAGTAACAATATATCTGATGTTTAAGTATTCTATTATTTTTATCTAATTCACTTTTTGCTAAAGAAAAAGAAAAACCTTGTTTATGATCATGTTTGTCAAGCCAATTTTCATTAGTTAATACTTGTACTAATATATACAAATAAAAAAAATATTAGCTATAATAAAATAGTATTTAACTTACTTTTTAATATCTTTCCAATTAGCAAAATTTTGCTCTTTAGCTAAGGAATATAAATTTTCTTTTAAATCAGTTAGATTAGTTTTAGCTTCAAAATTCATCAAATTAATACTTTTTTTTGAACATAATTGTTTATTAAAAGTTGGAATTTTTTTAAATATATTTGTTTCTATATTATCAGCAAAATACAAATCAGCTTCATTGAATTTAGCTTTACTTTCTATTTTAAAAAGCTATACAAGTATAGTTATATACAGTAGAATAAAAATTTGTAGAAATTAAATTAAATTTAAAAAGTTGTATAAATATATACAAAGTAAGATTAGTAAGATTACATATTATATATATAATATATTATAAATAATAATTATATGATTATACAATATATACATCACCTTAGGGTTAGGGTCAGTCAGTAAATTTAGTATTTAATTCAGATAGGGTGGCAATAAATTATTTACTACCCCAGGTGGCACCAAGACGACTCCTTTAAAATTATGTATAATGTAATATGATCAAGAAATTTCAAAACAAATGGTTATTTTGTCAAAATTATTTATAACTTAAAATTTTATATATAAACTATTTTTTACTTTATAACAAAAAAATTTTCTTACAAACTTTTATTTTTACACTCTAACCTTATCTAATTCTAATCTCAACTAAATATCCAAATTTATTTATTTTGTTTTTAAAGTAATAATTTATAATATATATTGTATATATAATATATGGATAAATATATGCATCGCCTACTGCGATGTGTTTATACATCGCATCTATATATATAAATTATAATTTGT